AGAGTTTTTTAATGACAAAGTCCAAGGCATCAAAAATGCCATCACCTCCACAGTAGAAATTACAATCCAACAGCCAGTGAAGCTTTTTGGGCTGACACACTTTACACCAGTACAAAATGAAACTGTCCAAATGATAATTACAAGTCTGAGTTCTTCTACATGTAGCCTGGATGTATTACCTCCTAGATTTCTTAAATCTGTTCTGAGCAGTCTTTTACCTTCACTCACGCATATAGTAAATATGTCTCTTGAATCTGGAACATTCCCAATGGCCCTGAAAACGGCAGTCATCAGACCCCTCCTAAAAAAGAGGAGTCTGGATGCCTTGGCACTTAAAAATTATCGGCCCATTTCAAATCTGCCTTTCATGGGTAAAATTCTAGAAAAAGTTGTCTATCAACAACTTACAGAATTTTTAATAATCAATCACTCTTTTGATATGTTCCAGTCTGGTTTTAGACCCCACCACAGCACAGAGACCGCTCTAGTGAAGGTAACAAATGACATCAGACTTAACACTGACGCAGGAAAAGTCTCAGTTCTTATCCTGTTAGATTTAAGTGCTGCTTTCGACACTGTCGATCATGGTATCCTCATTCAGAGACTTGAGGACTGGGTTGGTGTTTCTGGAACAGCCCTAAGCTGGTTTATATCCTACCTACAGGACAGAAAGTATTTTGTGGAGATCGGAAACTGTATCTCAGACCATCTGGCCCTAACCTGCGGAGTGCCACAGGGATCAATCCTGGGGCCTCTCCTGTTTAATATTTACATGCTGCCTCTGGGTAGGTTAATACACAGTAATAACGTGTCCTATCACAATTATGCTGACGATACTCAGGTCTATGTGTCCCTGACAGCAGGAGAACATGGACCAGTGGACTCGCTCCTTCACTGTATCCAACAAATCAGTGATTGGATGCAAAATAACTTTCTCCAGCTAAACACAGAAAAAACTGAAATTATTGTTTTCGGACCTCAAAAACAAAGAGAGAGCGTTATCTGCCACCTCCAGTCTCTCTCCCTAAAACCCTCAACTCAGGTCAGAAATCTAGGAGTAATAATGGACTCAGACTTAAATTTCAATAGCCACATATCATCTGTGACATCATCAGCTTACTTCCACCTAAGAAACATTGCTAAAATTAAAAACATAGTGTCTAAGGCAGACTTGGAGATTCTTATCCACGCATTTGTCTCCAGTCGATTGGACTACTGCAATGGCTTGTTCACAGGTCTCTCTAAACAAGCGGTAAAACAGCTGCAGTACATCCAAAATGCTGCAGCTCGAGTCCTGACTAGAACCAGGAAGTACGACCACATTAGTCCGGTCCTCAGGTCTCTGCACTGGCTTCCTGTGGCTCAGAGAATAGATTTTAAAGTAGCTTTACTTGTGTACAAGTCTCTCCATGGCCTCGCACCAGGGTACATCCGCGACATGTTGGTGCCATATGAACCAACTCGGGCTCTGAGGAGCACAGGGACTGGACTTCTGTTAGTGCCAAGAGTCGGAACTAGACATGGGGAGGCTGCGTTTCAGATTCATGCAGCTAGAGTCTGGAACCGTCTTCCCGAGAGTGTGAGACAGGCGTCTACTCTAGCAGTTTTTAAAACTGAACTGAAAACAGTTCTTTTTAGCTGTGCATACAAGTGAATGATTTTATATTTGTTTTTTATCTTTAATCTTTTTAATGCGCTATGATTATTTATGATTATTTATGATTGTAATCCCTTGTGTGATTTTAATGTTTTACGGTTTTTAACTACTTGTGTGATTTTATATATCTTGTGCTCTTAATCTGTCTTTTTATGTTTACTTAAATTCTAATGTTTGATGATTTATGCATGATGTTATATGGGTTGTGAGGCGCTTTGCGTTGCCTTGTGTAGGAAAGGCGCTCTATAAATAAACGTTGATTGATTGATTGATTGATGTTAGATCTGCCCTAAACTCTTTGGACATTTAAAAACCTTTTTTCTTTGTCTTTTATTGTGTGTGATGTTTTTAATATATCCTAAGGCGTCCTTGAGTGTCTGCAAATGCGCCATGAGATAAAATGAATTATTAATTATTATTATTTTAAGGTTGTCAGGTGATAAAGAATATACTGCTTCATTTACTTCATAACATCCTCCATCGGAAACACACGTCAAATCAAAAATACATGAATGATTGTTTTACGAATATGAAAGAATAAAAACATGACAGAAGAGTTTCCGATTCGTCCTGACCCACATTAAAAAGAGAAAAATGAAAACACACTTTCTGCTCATGACGTGTTTGACAAACACAACACTTCCTTATTCTTCTTCTTGACCCATATTTTGCTCCGAGGATTCGTCTGAAAACGGCGTTCGCGTTTCTGACCGTTTCTGTGGCTTTTTCATTAGCCTTTAGATGTTTTATTCACGGGACGAAAGAAACCGTTTGAATTAATGATTTTCTTCAGTGTTGAGTGTTTTCATAAGAATGAGCTGCTTTTTTATTGCTGCTGCTGCGTTTGAAAATGGACAAAAAACTACTATTTTAGAGCAACTGCTATAAACGAGAGATAAAAGTCAATTATTTTAAGGGACATGTTAGAGCCATGTCACTCTGAGGAGCACAGGGACTGGACTCCTGCTGGGACTCTGAGGAGCACAGGGACTGGACTCCTGCTGGGACTCTGAGGAGCACAGGGACTGGACTCCTGCTAGGACTCTGAGGAGCACAGGGACTGGCCTCCTGCTGGGACTCTGAGGAGCACAGGGACTGGACTCCTGCTGGGACTCTGAGGAGCACAGGGACTGGACTCCTGCTAGGACTCTGAGGAGCACAGGGACTGGCCTCCTGCTGGGACTCTGAGGAGCACAGGGACTGGACTCCTGCTGGGACTCTGAGGAGCACAGGGACTGGACTCCTGCTGGGACTCTGAGGAGCACAGGGACTGGACTCCTGCTGGGACTCTGAGGAGCACAGGGACTCAACACGACAGGGGTATGAACACTTAAGGAGGTATGATAAAAACATTGCCTTTGCAGCGGATTAACGTGACATTTTTATTTGAGCTGTAGATGGATAGATGGGGCGGCACAGTGGCTGAGTGGTTAGCATTCTCAATTCTCAGCAAGAAGGTCCTGGGTTCGAATACTGGTCGCAACAGGGTCTTTCTGAGTGGAGTTTGCATGTTCTCCCCATGTCTGTGTAAGTTTCCACCGGGTGCTCCAGTTTCCCCTACCACTAATAACATGTACAATAGGTCTGCGCCTCCTGTACTGGCCCCGCCCCCATCTCTGTGTGGAGTGACAGACTAATGCCCAAAACAGAATAACTGTAAACCGCTTTGACTCTGGTCTGTAAAGGCGCTATATAAATAAACATTACTTTAATTAAATACTTCTTTGTGTTTCATTTCACTCTGATTGTCTTATGGAGGTAGGATTAAATAAGTTTTATTCTTTCTACTCCCTTTCAGGCAACTCTTTTGTTTTAGTTTTTTTTCCTTTTATGCACGTTAGCAAAACTTTATCCATTTGTGTTGGAAACCATGATCATAGGACAGCGGGGAAATGTCAGTGTTGCATCACCAGTTACAGAACAGTAGGAAAGAGGAGCTCACGGCACAAGATAATCAACAATAACCGTACTAATTAAAATATATCAAAAACTAACTCTAGCATCAAAGAAACAAGTACAAAATATTTATCTTGAAAATAATAATATAAAAAGAAGTGAAAAAGTTTAACATTTGGCAAAATAGTGTAAAGTGTTCTAGTGCAATAGTGTCTTGTGCTCTCGGTGAAATGCCGGAAATGAATAATTATAAACTGTTGTGTTTGTGCTCAATGTATTTTAAGTGTTTTAATGAATGACCTTTAAATGTGTCGTGTTGAAAACAAATTTCTGCTCAATTGACTAGAAAATAAAGTTATATTCTATTCTATAATAAACAGTCGATCAGGGATGTTGTCCACCTCCTCAGCTCCGGCCTCGTACAGACAACTGTAGAGGGTTTTGAGAGCGGGCAGAGCGTGGAGGCGGTAAAGCCACGCAGCAGGAGACCCTCAATGTGACTACAGCATCCTCTCTGCACACCCCAGCGTCTGTACAAACCACAGCCGCCCGATACCGGATCGAAGAGTGCCGCGGCCACAGAACAGCTGGAGCTCCTATAAACTGTCTGCGTTTGTGATTTCATGTTTTAAATTCTTTGTATGAGATAAATCTTCGCCTTGAATCCTGTTTGTTGTTGTGTGTATTTCATTATTTTTTGAGTAATGCTGCGAGAGGCAAGATTGTGACTGTCTCGTCTTCATGCTTTTCATCATCGCCTCGGTCTGATTTCTCTGTAGATTTGCGATGAGATTGAATAAAATATGAAGCCAAGAAAGTGCTAATGCAGCCGCAATCGCTAAATGAAGCAAAACTACAGGAATGAAATTTGAGAGCTCTGTGGAGGGTACGGAGGGCGGTTGGAAAGGTTCTGCTCATGATACCAACACACACTCTGGGTCCAGGCTATAGTCCAGACTTTAGTCCAAAACACAAGCCCAGGGTACGATGGAGTTTTCCTTCTGTCACTGGGCTTTGATGACGTGACAGCGGGTGGATCACAGCGGCCTGACATGTCTGCACGGTGTGAGCAAAGGACAGAAGTGTGAGCCATGGAGAGGATACAGTGTGAAGTCAGTGTGTCCGTGTGTGTATGTGGGGTACACGGAGAAACACACACATTCTGTTCAAGGTCAAATAGGTTTTGTCTCTCTGCAAATATCACCCTTAATTTAATTGATTACAGATGATTGTTGTGCAGGCTCAGCTGACTTTCAGAGAAGCACGCCCTGAGGAGACTGGGGTCAAAGTCAAATAATAACAAGAACACAACATTAGGATGGTCAAGCTGAGCTACCACGGCGGCACTGGACGTGACTGAGCGTGTGCACGAGGAGGACTCTGAGCGTGTGCACGAGAAGGACTCTGAGATAGTGGCTTAAGTGAAGGCGCCAGCGGCTGACAGCACATGACATCCCCGTTTGATCCACGCTGGACCAAACTCCTCCACACCAACCCCTCCGGGACTGCGCGGTTTACGCACTGAATGTGTATGAGGAGGGCTTAAACAGGTCACATCCTGCACGCACGGACCCACTGCTTCTGGCTCTGATCCAGCACCAGACACCAACACACAGAGAGAGGGGGGGCACAGAAGGGGACTTTACAAGACTCACCGGGATGTGCCTTGGCCCACGGACCGCCGGGCAGCAGCGCAGACCACAGGCAGGACGTCAATAGTAAGGTCCACATGGCACCGATGAGCGCGTCCACATACAAACAATGAACTGTTGAACTATGGTTCCCAGTCGCGGACGCAGCACCTCTGCCGGAGCCGCGTGCCCGGGGGAGCGGCGTGCGCGACACTCTCTGCGGGAGGATGGAAGCAGACGTCACTCACAAGAGCAGTCCACAGTCCCTGGTGTTCACGGAGACGCACATAGCACCCCGCGTCTTCCGGAGCGGGGTGGATGGAGACTGGCAGCAGCGGAGAGAGAGCGCGGTGCCTGGTCGGTGCTGCAGCGGCGCGGACTCAGAGCTCGGGGGCTCCGGTAGCTCCAGGGGGGGGGTCACACTGAAGCACGAGTCGCTGGATGTGACCAAACGGCTTCTGTGCTTTCTATTCCTCCGTCCGTCTGTGGTGAGCGTGTGCACAAGTCAGCCTCAGACTTTGAACGGAGTCAGTGATGGGGAGAGGGAGAGAGGAGATGAAGAAGAAGAGGGGGGGAGAGAGGGAGAGAGGGAGGGGGACGTTCCTCTGGATCCTAGCGCCCGCGCTGAGTGGGAGCTGCTCGCTTCTTGGCCCGGCGATAATAGGTAATAATAGACGGGAGCTCTCCAGGGTCCTCAAGGTTTTTGTTCCATTAATGAGCCGAGAATAGCTCCACGTCACCTGCGTCACCAGCGCTATCCCACATTCTCTCCACAAATGTGCCACTGAACTGATTATTGACTAATGAATATAACGAGAATTGGGTTCAGCTTTCGTGAGTTCATTTCATCTTCGTGCAGGTGAAAGTCAGATCTGTTAAAACTCTGAAGCGAAGCAGGACGGGGCCTGGTTAGTGCTGTGATGGGGGTCCTCTGGAAACACCGGGTACTACAGTGGGGCGGCTGTAAGGGCCAAACTGTTGTTGTGTTCATAGGCAAGACACTTCCCCCACATTAGAATGAGTCTGGGGTGTGTGTGAATGGCTGGTGGTGGCTGATGTCTGATTGTTTTATGTATTTATTTAAATTTAGAGCAGTACATAAAGCCATGTATCGGCAAACAGCATCAACATAAATATGTGAAACACACAAACTCTTTCTATGGAAAAGTATAAACGGTAAAATTCTACTTACGTCTTTAACCTTTGGACCCTGTAGCACTCACTTCTCCTGTTTTTGAGAAGTTAAGCGTCTTATCAACATAAATATGCTGGTTGGATGTTATTCAGCAGGGCAGCTGTGGCTACAGAATCAACACTGTGGGGGGTGAAGGAAAAATGCTGTGAAATGTCTTTGAGCGTCCAAAAGTTTTATAAATCTGATGTATTTTTATTGTATTATCATGTTGTATTCTATGAAATAAAGCAGTTGAAATGATACTTACTGATTTCCAGAATAATCTTGAGTCAGGTTTGTGCCGATGTAAGTCTGTTTACAGCAATGAAGAAAAGAAAGAACAAAAATATATCAAAAATAGAGAATGGGGAAATGTTGTTATTTTTGTTCATTTTCTGAGACAGGCCTATGTTGTTTTTTTAACCCTCTGTTTATTGGTTTTTTCCACAAATGTATACTGTTTGGCAGTCGAACAGAAAGTACAGAACCCCTAAATGCACAGTATTAGATATATATATTCTGTTAGATATTTATGTTACGTTATACAGAGAAAAGGAAAACAGAAAGGTTCATTCACACAGACTATAGTGAGAAAACAGACAATTAAAAGACAAGCCGATGTTGGTTTAAAAAAGCTAAATTTTGTCTTGAGTAAAAACGCTTTTTGTGGTTCTTTTGCAAGTCCAGGTTGTTTTGGGCGACCTGCTTGTCAATCAGCCTGACCCCGCCCACTCAGAAAGTAACATCAGCTGATACATGACCCGCCCCCAAAGCTCTCAGCTCTGCAGCCAAAACACATTCAACTAAAAAAAATACATATAAACTTGTTTTTCAAAAGAAGCACAAAAGCGGGTGTGAGAGTGGGCTGTGGTGCTCCGGCTTGAGGACTCCGTGTGGCCCTGGAACAGATGGGTAATTACACAGTGGTTCAAGTGCATGTTAAGGTGTGGGGAGAAGACGTGAAGTGCACTTATGTCCTCCTGCCTCCAGCTCTTTGAGGCAGCAGGGCACACGGATCACTTCAGGGACTAGCACTAGTTTTACACCGACGCAGGTTGAAATTAAAGACGGTTAAAGACAGAAAATATTCAGGGTAAATTGGTGGTTATGAGCTCTGCAGACGACAAACTATTGGGACAAAGAGTGGGTACAGTCCCTCACACTATCTCCAGTAGAAAATCCCCTTCAACACGAGTTCCCACGGCCTTGTTCTCCTTATAGCTTTAATTGTTTAAGTTTATAATGTTTGAAATGTGTGAGATCGACTGAAAGTTACCCTCGATCTTATTCACAGTCGAACCTTGTGTTTCTTAACCAGTTTAAGCGAGACTTTGTCCTTAGCAACTCCTCGACCAAATCTCTCTTTTCAGTTTGAAGGAGGCTCACTGTGTTTCGGAGAGACTGCTCTGTCTTCTCTGCCTCGTCCACCTTCTGTCTCAGTCGGACCAGTTAATTATTGTTAGAGCTTCTTTCATCTCTAAGTTCTCTACTCAGAGCGACTCTACCTCAGTCTAGAGACCACTGTGGTGTCGCTGTTTCTGTTCGGGATCGGTAACATTTCTCCAGAGAATCCACCTGGCATTTAAACATTTCGATGGTCAACCCAGATTCCCGCGTTCTGTCCTCCAGGTCCGTCTTGTAGTACTCTTAACTCCTCCATTAAATGTGTATTTTTACTTGTAATCCTGTCTCTATATTTCTATGGAGCCGCTGAGAATCAGATTGAAGTGACTCCAGCTCAGTCGGCAGGCGGGACTTTTCTGTCTGATTCTAAACTATACCCCTCCAATTCTAGCGTCAAATCCCTGTTTTGAGTCATAAGCGACTTGACCTCCCCTTTAAGAGCCCGTTTTGTTTCTCTCAAATCTAAAGTAAGACGTTGGACCTCAGCTTCCAGTGCGCGGTTCGGTTCCTCTCTACAATACCTTCTGTCGGTGATGTCTCCTCTCCCTGGTCTTTGCTGCCGGCCTCGTCCTGCTTCACTTTCTCCCTCTCTGCTGCAATTAGTTTGTGTGAAACCTCAACCTGTGCAGGTGAGAGGGGTGTTGGAATAGTCCATGTGCAGGTGAAAGGGGTGTTGGAACAGTCCATGTGCAGGTGAGAGGGGAGTGTTGGAACAGTCCATGTGCAGGTGAAAGGGGTGTTGAAACAGTTCATGTGCAGGTGCGAGGGGTGTTGGAACAGTCCATATGTAGGTGAGGGGGGTGTTGGAACAGTCCATGTGTAGGTGAGGGGGGTGTTGGAACAGTCCATGTGCAGGTGAGAGGGGTGTTGGAACAGTCCATGTGTAGGTGAGAGGGGTGTTGAAACAGTTCATGTGCAGGTGAGAGGGGTGTTGGAACAGTCCATGTGCAGGTGAGAGGGGTGTTGGAACAGTCCATATGTAGGTGAGAGGGGTGTTGGAACAGTCCATGTGTAGGTGAGGGGGGTGTTGGAACAGTCCATGTGCAGGTGAGAGGGGAGTGTTAGAACAGTCCATGTGTAGGTGAGCGGGGGGTGTTGGAACAGTCCATGTGTAGGTGAGGGGGGTGTTGGAACAGTCCATGTGTAGGTGAGCGGGGGTGTTGGAACAGTCCATGTGTAGGTGAGCGGGGGGTGTTGGAACAGTCCATGTGTAGGTGAGCGGGGGGTGTTGGAACAGTCCATGTGTAGGTGAGCGGGGGGTGTTGGAACAGTCCATGTGCAGGTGAGAGGGGTGTTGGAATAGCCCATGTGCAGGTGAGAGGGGAGTGAAACTTGCTGAGAAGAGGTCCATGACTCTATAATTCTATAACCGCAGAAAAATGAAATATGTTTGTAAAGTATTTTATTTAAACAGTCCATTAAAGTGTATTCAAAAATAATCCTCAATGGTCAACAACAGCTCGAGTCCAAATCTCTGCTGTTGGTTCCTTAAGTCAGGATTTGACCAAATGTACATGTTTTTAGTGGTAGGAGAAACCGGAGCACCCGGAGGAAACCTACGAAGACACGGGGAGAACATGCAAACTCCACTCAGAAAGGCCCTGTTCTGACCGGGAATCGAACCGAGGACCTTCTTGGTGAGAAGGCAGAGTGCTAACCACTCAGCCGCCCTGTTGTTGTCAGAAAGAACCTCAGAGGGAAACGTTAGTAAGACTCTAAGTTAAAGACTTAGAAAGTTCTTTTAATAAGACAGACATTAAAGAAAGCTAGTACTGCTTGATTACCAAATGTTTCGGCCAAAACATTTGGTAATTAATTAGTTAATTAGTTTAGTTTTTGTCTTATTAAAATGACCTTCTAAGCCTTAAACATGAGGTCTTTAGTCTCAGTTAAAGACTGAGACAAAAGACCAAAGTTTAGCTCAGAGACTTTCCGGATCTCCGTCTGAGAAGTGGAAAAGTAACTGTAGTAATCCTGGTCCTGCTCAGAGGGAGCAGCGTCTGCAGTCAGAGCTGTATCTCTGGAAAAGTAACTGTTGTAATCCTGGTCCTGCTCAGAGGGAGGACTTCTCTGAATCCTCTGTCCTCAGGTCTTTGGTCCATGGTCTTCCTGCTCCAGTCTCCCCAGAGAAACTATTGGGAATCTGTGGAATCCTGGCTTTTCATCCCGAGCTCAGGGAAATATCATTCAAAGCTCTTTCTTTCTTTCCATTTGTGATTTAGATTCAGGATCAGGTTCAGCGAAGGGTTCAGGTCAGATAAGAGCAGTTAACTTAGTTATGGTGAGGTCAGGCTCAGGGTTCGGACCACTTCCTAAAATCTGTCTATTTCTGAAAATGGCCACAAAAGCCTTCCCTTAACCCCAACCTGAACCAAAGTCCATGCTCCTCTCACCTTTACCCTCTGACCTTGGCCTGGCTCGCCATCACACATGTAAAGAAGGAAGTAGCAGTGAAAGCAGAATATCCCCCTCAACCAAAGTCCAAATGCCAAGATTCTCATGAGGAGGAGACTAGAAGGAGACCCAGGACACAGAGGGGTTCCCCCAGATGAGCGTGTGGACAGGGAAGTCTGGGCGTCTCTGCTCAGACTGCTGGCCCCACCACCCGGCAACGGATGAAGCGGAAGAACTTCGATGGATGGATGTTAAAGTTAAATTCTTACTCACAGTCGAAGCCTGTGTTTCGTAACCAGTTTAAGCGAGACTTTGTCCTCAGCAAATCCTCGGATAAATCTTTCTTTTCGGTTTGAAGGAGGCTCACTGTGTTTCGGAAAGACTGCTCTCTCTTCTCTGCCTGGTCCACCTTCTGTCTCAGTCGGACCAGTTCATTTATGTTTGAGCTTAGATCTTCTTTCATGTCTGAGGTCTCTACTCTGAGTGACTCTACCTCAGTCTGGAGCTCACTGTGGTGTCGCTGTTTCTGTTCCAGACGACTCGCGTATTTCTCCAGAGAATCAACCTTGCCTTTAAAAATTGCAATTGTTAAACCGGAGTTCCGCGTTCTGTCCTGGAGTTCTGTCTTGTAGAACTCTAACTCCTCCATTAAATGTGCATTTGTTTTTTCTAAATCTCTGGCTACATTTCTATGGTGCCGCTGAGAATCAGACTTACCTGACTGCAGCTCAGTCCGCAGGCGAGACTTTTCTCTCTCTGATTCTAACTTATATTCCTCGAATTGTTCTGCCAAGTCTCTGTTTTCTGCACAAATTCTCAACATTTCATTCCTGCTTTCCTTCAGTTTTTCCTCTGATCTCGACTTAGAACTTTCAAATTTTTGGGTCAATTCCCTGTTCTGTGTCTCCAGAGACTGGACTTCCCCTTTAAGAGCCTGTTTAGTTTCTCTCAGTTCTATAGTAAGACGTTGGACCTCAGCTTCCAGCGCATGGTTCCTCTTTACAATACCTTCAGTCGGTGATGTCTGCTCTTCCTGATCTGCTGCGTTGTCGCTGCTGGCCTTTTCCTTCTTTACTTTATCCCTAAACTGATTAAGTTCAGACATATGTTTCCTACATTTCTCCCTCTCTACAATAATCCCTTGGAGCGAAACCTCATAAGAAGTACTGGCCTGTGCGCAGTTCTCCGACACCTCAGTGATACATTTAGTAAGTAAGTAAGTAATCTTTTATTTATATACCGCCTTTTCACTGCAGATCTGAGTCTCAAAGCGGTTTACAATTGTTAATTTTGGGCATTTGTCTCTCACTCCACACAGAGATGGGAGCGGGGCCAGTACAGGAGGCATATGCCAGAACTATTGGACATATTTTTAGTGGTAGGGGAAACCGGAGTACCCGGAGGAAACCTACGCAGACACTGGGAGAACATGCAAACTCCACTCAGAAAGACCCTGGTCTGACCGGGATTCGAACCCAGGACCTTCTTGCTGAGCGGCGAGAGTGCTATCCACTCAGCCACCGTGCCGCCCGGTTACACCCATTTACCAATGGGTGTAACTTCCTTTGGCGCCTCTCCGTGGTTCTCCGATGCAAGTTGCTGCTTCGGCCTTACCTGATAGTCGCTGACCTCGCCCTTCTCTGCTTTCGCCTTAATCTCTTTAAGGTAATAAGCGTCTGTTTCTCCGTCTCGAAACAGAAGTTCGCAGACTTTCACTAAGTCCGGTGTCTCTCTCTCCAGTCTGTGGTTTTCCTGCTGCTCCCTCAGTTTGCAATCGGCCTCGTCCTGCTCCGCTCTTGCCCAAAGATTTTTGCGGATCACTTTTCTCACGCCTCGAATTTGCAGAGACTTCCCTCTTACAGCATCTGCTACGGTATTTTCTGTGACCTCTGAAGCCACAGTTGGTGAAAACTGATTATTCACACTGACCTCTAGTTTCTCTGAACCATTCTGGGTCTCTTTACTCAGTCTGGACTGTTTACCCCCCATTGGTAACAGACCAAAGTCTCTAAACTAAACCAACTAGCTTTTCCTCTTCATAAACTACCAACTCTTCACCTTTTGCTGCTGCTGCTACTACTTTGCCTTACACCTTGCTACTGCTGCTGCTACTGCTATTGCTACTGCTATTGCTACTGCTGCTGCTACTGCTACTGCTGCTGCTACTGCTGCTGCGATTAAGTATTTGCTAAGTCCGCCGTCATTTGTATTGTCAGTGAGATAACCAAGCCAACTTTACTGGGAAAACCCTAACCTTATCTCATTCCAGAATGACATCATATAGTATCCATAGCAACCAGTTGATATGGATGTTCTAGATCAGGGGTTCCCAAAGTTTTTAGCCCGCGACCCCCATCATAAATGCGCTGCTCCCCCGCGACCCCCCACCTCAACAGTCCTTCCCGTCAATGAGCATGTACTTCCTTGATACGGAGTAACGCAGAGACTCGCGCCACTACTGAGCTGCACTGTCCAGCCCAAAAAAGGAGGCTTGCGTATTTTTACTCACGTAGTGACACAGTGATGGGCTTGGTGGGCTTCCTTCTGAGCAGAAGTGGAGCGCATTTCTTGCGGCTCGCCCTCTCTGTTCTCATACCGCGGTAAAGTGGCCCGGCTTTTCGGAGTCAGCGGTAAAGAGGTCCGCACATAAAAAGCGGGCGGCCGCTTTCTGCTGTTACTTTATGCGCTTCATCCCCGCGGCTTCTTTTTCCAAAGTAACTGTAAATAACAGCATAAAGCAGCCACCCGCTTTTAATGTGCGGACCTCTTTACCACTGACTCCGAAAAGCCGGGCCTCTTTACCGCGCTGTTCTACCGCTGCCTTCTCTCCCTCCGCTGCCCTCTCTCCGTCTCTTCGCACCATCAGCCTGACCTCACATGTGACTTTTCTCCCCCTCCGGGTTTTTCTGTTGTGGATATTAACTTCATTTTAAAGCAGGTATTATTTGTTTGTTGCCTCCAAACACCTTTAGTTTTAGCAAACAACAGCTGGACACGCTTTGTCGCTGCGTGACATAAGCTGCGTAACTTGATTTTGATTGACGCTGTCAATGACTGGACAAAATTACAAACGTAATTTAAATATTTTATATTCTCCTAACACAATTTAACAAGTAGTCCTTTTGAATCAAATCAAATGCTAAATCAATATTTAAGGGCTATTAATTAGCAAAATGTTTTTTTTGTTTTTTGTTTTTTTTTTGGAAATCATCTTGCGACCCCCCCCCCCCCAGGGGGGTCGGGACCCCCACTTTGGGGACCACTGTTCTAGATGACCAGGGTTTCCACGGTAACCAACCCAATCCAGGCACATAAATACAATACTGACTAAAAGTTTGGACACACTTTCTCATTCAATGAGTTTCCTTTCTATTCGATTGGCTGTTACAGCCCTTACACCAGGCTGTGTAAGGGCTGTTGGACCAATAAGGAGAGTGATGGTGCTGGGCCACATGACCTCCACAGTCACCGGACCTGAAGGCAAGGCAAGGCAAGGCAAGTTTATTTATATAGCACAATTCATACACAAGGCAATTCAAAGTGCTGAACAAAACAAGAAAGCATTAAAATCATAAATTATCACAGAACATTAAAAAGAAAGATAAAAATACAAAATCCCTCAGTTGTATGCACAGTTAAACAGAACTGTCTTTAACCTGGTTTGAAACATTGTCAGAGAGGAGGCCTGTCTCACATCTTCAGGAAGACTGTTCCAGATTTTAGCAGCATGAATCTGAAAAGCAGCCTCCCCATGTTTAGTTCTGACTCTGGGCACTAACAGGAGTCCAGTCCCTGTGCTCCTCAGAGTCCCAGCAGGAGTCCAGTCCCTGTGCTCCTCAGAGTCCCAGCAGGAGTCCAGTCCCTGTGCTCCTCAGAGTCCGGGCTGGTTCATATGGTACTAACATGTCACTAATATATTTTGGTGCGAGGCTATGGAGAGACTTGTACACAAGCAGAGCTGTGTCGGCAATGATAACGGCGTTATAGTTACAGTCAAAGTAATTAGTTAGATTACTCGTTACTGAAAAAAGTAACGGCGTTACTCCCATCACTGCATACAGCGCCTTACATATATGTCAGCTACCTCTCTAAATACAGTCTTTGTGTAACTTTACTGTAGTTTTCACTGTAAAGGGCTGCACAGGTCGTGTATAGTGTGTTCATAGTCACTAAAAACACAGAGAGAGTAAAGTGTCACAATGAAGTCATTTGACTGTTGTTCATACTTGATGTTGTTAGGACGGCACACATTATTATTATTATTATCGTCAACACTATCTGAATCCTAATCCTATTTGCGTTGACAATCGCTTTTCTTCACTCCTTCTATCTAAAGAGTTGATAATAGAGAGAGAGAGATAGATAGATAGATAGATTTTACAGCCTTTTTCCACCTACACAAGCTCTGCCAAGGTTGTCCAGCGGGCTTGCGTTTGACATTTTTAAGTCTGGACTATTCTCTTTTCTCACTAATTTACCCCAAAAACACATCCAACCTCTCCAGCGGGACTCCACTGCCTCTCCCAAACCACAGAATCCAGTTTACTCTCCTACTTCTCAGTTTCAAAGCGCTCTATAACTGGATCCTTTTGAGCCAGAGAGACATGCCCCACCCACACACACCACTCTGTACTCTCGCCCTCTCCCCACAGCCCCTACTGTCACAATAGCCAGCAGGGGGCGCTAGCGTTCAGCCACTCTGTCCACAAACTCTGGTCTACTCCACCCACTCACCTGCGACAGACTCTCTGGAAAATGAATACGTTTCTGTATTTTTATTGTGTGTAATTGCAATTTATTATAATGTGTCCTTGGGTGTCGTGAAAGGGGCCTTTCAAAAAAACTAGTTATTATGATTAAATTATTAAAATATTATTGCCAATGAAGGAGGGCAGAAAGTCAGAAGTGAGAGTTGTTTTCGTCAGGGGCTAAATAATAACAATAACAACAGTATTAACTAACTATCAGTTCAACTATTGAGTTCAATGTCTAGAATCAAATAAATGAGGTGTTTTTTAATGAGAAAGCTTTAAAATGTAAAATATGCTTTCGTAACCATAGTAACCGTTCACAATCAATGCGGGGCTGCATTTGATAATCTGCGTGTCTTTGAGCCTAGCGTACATGGACAGAGTAACTGGAGACAACTAGTTTCAAGGCGGCTTTTGGCGACAGAGTACAACTGGAGATAAACAGTCGATCTCCGGATTCAGTCAGTTGCCCGTGTTCTACTTTTCGGCAACAAGTTGTACTCAGATCCGGAGATATCACCCGATGTGTGCTCTCCAACAAGAGATAAGATAAGATAAGATGTACTTTATTAATCTCACACAAGAGAAATGTACATGTCACGTTTGGCATGGATAGAAACACACAAGATTGTGCAAAAAGTAAGAAATGTGAAAACAGGACATGACATATTATGTACAAAAGTGGCAATTAGAAAGTGGCAATGAGAAGAAGTGTCAATAGTAGTGCAGGTTTCATCAGTCAGGTGACGTATTGCGCCCTCTACAGTTTATGTCAGAAAACACACTGTAGTTGAGGCCAGTTGCGGTTATTCCCCAGACTGGCCTGATACAGGAGTTGCCCGTTTTTGCCAGATTATCGATGTGTGCGGGGCAGCAACCTCATAGGCCACGGATATAATCAGTTGCCAGTCCCATGTACACGAGGCATAATGGACCTAAAGATACACAATAAAAGACCAAAGCCCAAGTCTCAAAGCCGAAGTCCCTCGCTGATCCTGCAGCAGGTGGGTCCACAGGATCATGGCTTCTTCTTCATCAAAAACATGGCCTTGGTCTTTCAGCGGGGGCTTCAGGCAAAGTGGGGTTAAGTGGCTTGTCCAGGGACACAACAGCAGTGGACGTCAGTGGGAGCTGGTGACATGGATTGTGTTGGGATCAAACCCACAACCATTATGTCCAAAGACCAAAGCACTACCACAGTCGCCCCCTGGAGGCACAGCTGGGATCCGCACCCAGGATCTCCTGTTTACAAAACCGCATGTTGTGGTGGGATTTGATCATTTTCTTTCTTTTACACGACTCTTTCTTTCACATGTGCGGCTCAACCAACATTGGTAAAATTTTTATAAGCTGATAAAGTTTGTATCACGCAGTCAAAACCCGGACCAGAGGTTTTTCTTTCAAACACTGATGGAAAAATGGTGTTTCAGCTCGAGCCGATGTCCAAGGACTTTGAAAGATTTCCAGTCCCCTCTTGACAAAACCCTGCGGTGTTGCTGAAATGCCAGTGACATTTTGCAACATGTTTGGAGCCGCACTGTCGTCTGGATCAGTGGCAGTTCAGAAATATTGCTCCTACGCTCCTCGAAAATGTTGGAAGATTCTTGCTTTGAAAAACCCATGAGCCTATTTTTACCGTTCAAACAGATGGCTTCCATTAGAGGAGCAGCCTTATGAGATACCTTAACAGCACCGCAGAGAACCAGCTAATTAACTTACTCTTTTTCATTTAACGATTCTGAAAATTAATAAAAATCCAGCTGGTCAGTCCGGACCCCTCCAGCTCTGTCTGTGGAGAAAGTCAAATTAAGTCAAAGTGAAAAATCTGCTGCTCATAAGGTCAGGCAGGACACACCAGGCCCCGTGCAGCTCTCTGCTGCGTTAGCGACTCGATAGCTCTGCTCCGTTAGCGACTCGCTCCGTTAGCGACTCGCTCCGTTAGCGACTCGATAGCTCTGCTCCGTTAGCGACTCGATAGCTCTCCTCCGTTAGCGACTCGATAGCTCTGGTTCAGCGGCGTTTGTCTGTTTGAGCTCAAAGACTGTCCCTTAAAGACCTTATGCCGGGTTTTTTTTTTTTAATTGTGGATATCAAAATTGCATGACAATGTTGATCTGAAATAGATTCCGGCAAAAAAAATCCTATATTTTATAAAAAGAACGTGTTTTTCATGAATTTAAGTTGTCTATGCTCTAACCTGTGTGTGACGTCACAGCGGGTAACGCCCATGCATTGAAA